CGCGGCGGCAGCAGGGCCCGCCGACGGTGCTCCTATTGGGGTGGGTGGCCCCTCCAGGCAGCTTCATGAGCAGCGCACCGCTCCACACAGGGAGCACCTGTCCTTGGACACGCGAAGGAGCACTTCCGAGCCCCGGCTGGTGCGTCTCAGTGGACCTAGCACCGGCCTGCGAACCAAAGGGTCGCCGGTTCGATCCCCAGTCGGGGCCCAGGCCTGAGTCCCGGGCCAGGTTCCCAGCAGGGGGCGCACGAGAGGCAACCACAAGCAGATGTTTCTCTCCCTCTCTTTCTCCCTCCCTCCCCGCTCTCTAAAAATAAATAAAAATCCTAAAAAGAGAAAGAAAAGAACGAACTGCTTCATGCCCTGGCCCGGGGTGGGGGGGTGTCACTGTCCCATGGCTGAAAGGCTGCAGGTCTGACACCTGGTCAGGGCACATGCCCAGGCTGCCGGGTCAGTCCCTGGCTGGGCAGGCACGACCCCTACACCGGGCACGTCGGAGGCGACCGACTGGAGCTTCTCTCCCACTACGCGCCCCTCCCCCCAGCAATGAAAGGCGTCCTCAGGTGAGGGGTTAGAAAAGAGAGATGCTGGCTGATTCCATGAATTTAAGAAGGTCCGTTTAAACTAAGCTCTTGCGTTTATTTGTAACTAAACTGCTATTTTATCTTGACCGGAGCACCAAGGCCTGAGGTGCCCCAGCCCCCGGGGGGCGGAGAAGAGCAGCCGGGCTGCCAGACCGCACACCTGGGGACACAGGGCAAAGACGACAGTCTGCCGTATTTGACCCAGAATCTGTCATTAGAGAAACCCTCTCACAAGGAAAGACACTCTTATTTAACGCAGAAAAGTCAACCGGGGCAGCCTCTCTGAAAAGCAAGCACCCGCTCCCCACTGACCCCTCAGCAGCAGAGGCAGGAGGAGACGCCGGGCGGGCGGGTGGCCCCGCAGGGCAGGGTGCAGGCGAGCTCCTGGGCCCCAGCACCCACATTCGGCGCCTGGCCCTGGAAGCCACGCAGGGTCAACGTGAGACAGGAGGCTCTGGTTCTCCGGGTGTCACAACGACACAGCCCCTCTCCACGGGACACAGCTCCCCTCCATGGGCCAGAAACCACTCTAAGGGACCGTCCCTCTGGAGAGCCAGGGCGGGGCGCAGCTGAGCGGCTGGCGCCTCAGCATTCCGATCCTCTGACTCCCAGAGCTGCAACTTTGTAACCAACTGGCAGAGTATCTGGGAGCGCAGCAGGAGACACCACACCACTGCACATTTCATCGTGGAAACCACCGTGTCTGCTGGTTAGAAGGACAATAAAATTTCAAATAGTCCATGATGATGACTAAGGCTCATTCACACACATTCGGGGAACAGTCCCCATCGCTCACCACATTGCACGTTATTTAAAATATCACAGGTTTAACAAACAAAGATTCCTGCCACAGAACCAAGTTTTAAAACTGCTTCTGGAAACGCACGCATGGTGCCTCTGGAAGGAAGGGAGCCCTCAAGGCACACAGATCAGTCCCCAAAGGGGAACTGCCCGAGGCGCCATTTTCAGTGACAAAACCCAGGCTCACTGGCACTTCCCTCTTCAGGAATGAGATGCAATTTCTGCAATTTCAGTGTTAACTCCCAATACGTTTGCAAAAGTCTTAGACTTTAGAACAATTTTCTTTGCTGAAGACCTGAACCTATTCTGTGCCAGTACCAAGAACTGAGGCAGAACTCACGTACACAAAATTAGTCCAAAGAACAGAGACAAAAACGAAATTAAAGGCGGTTTGGTAACCTAACCCTGAAGTTTCCCAAGTGACCGCTCACTGACTAGCTGCAAATCCTCTCAGGGGACGTCACTGTCCAAGAGCGGCCCTGGGGTCGGGGCGGGCGAGGCAACCCCCCATGAGACAAACTGTCACCGCCTTCAGCACCTTCGGTCCTTACATCCAGGGGGCAGCTGCCAAGGAGCCTCTCCCTTCCCACTCCCTGGACTCGCCAGCCCCGCTGCAAGCAGGGGAGTTCCCGACCCTCATGTGGTGGGGCGGCCTCCTCGCGAGAGTCCCAGCCCCGTCCCCTTTGGGGACGGAAAGCCCAGCACGGACTCCGCTGACACACAGACGGATGGACAGACAGGCGGGAGAACTGTGACCCAGCAGGAGGTTTCTGCAGCCGCCTACACTCTGACCTGGCCATTCAGTTAGAAGAGGCCAACGAGCCGCGCTTTCGCAGGACAGGGTTCCACCCGCGACAGCGACTCCCGAGGACGCCCTGGGGAGCTGAGAGTCCCCTCCCCACACCTGTGAAGACACAGGGCGTGTCTCTTCCGGGAGCCTGGCCGCCGAGAAGCGGCCCTGCTGGGCCCTGCTGTGCCGCAGGAGCTCCGAGCCAGGGCGCTGCCCTGCACCTGTGTTCCTGATGTTCTGTAAAACCGCCTGGAAGACGAGCACATACGTGCACACCGTTCATGACTCACGTTACAGGGCTGCATAACGTGACCGCGGGTGGCGGCCAGCCCGCGCAGATGACTGTGCCTGCGCCTGCGTCCAGCCGTGGTGCTGGGGGTGCTACCGGCGGGGTCCGGGAGGGAGCAGCGGCCGCGTGTGTGAGGGCGACGGGGCTGTGACCAACAGGGGTCTTGAGAGGGCGGGCGTCGAGGCGCAGGCTGTCCTCGCTCCCACGGCTGCTGGCCAGGCGGCCACCCGTCTCTGCAGGCAGGGAGGGGCTGCGTCCGGAGCTGCCCCCCAGCTGCCGGGACCACTGTCCCTGTGTGCGCCTCACGCTCACCCGCCCTCTGACTTCAGAAGCAAACTCTCGCTTTTGAGACAATTCTGCAGCGCGACCCCAGCCTCGCTCACTTCTGCTGCTCGTCCACCGATGCCTGCGCCCGGGGCCGCTGCGCCCCTCGCGCCTGGGCCCTGGGGACGTGCCGTCTGGGGCAGATCGCCGCAGGGGGTCAGGACAGGACAGGACAGCGAGGGGGCTCGAGGACAGACATGGCCGAGAATCACGCAGCACCCGCTCGGCCCCGCACGCGAACGGTCCCCCTACAACCACCACCGAGCCCACTCTCTCTGAGCTGAGGTGGGCGGCAGGTGGGGGTCTGGCCACGCCTCCAGAGCCCCGCGCCCGCAGCACCTGTGCGTGCCCTTGGCAACGGCTTGCTCTGCGCAGGACCACCCCGCCCTACCTGCTCCGACGGGTGTCACCGGGCTGGAAGGCTGGCACGGGGGGTTCTGGAGGGTTTTTTTGGGGGGGGGGTTGCCAAAGATAAAACTGCTAAACACATTACGAGTGGCAGGTCTGCCTTTAAAATCTTTTTATTTTGAAATAATATACAAGTTGCAAAAGAAAAGTTCACGGAGCGGCCCCACACCTCCCTGACCCGCCTCATCACTGGCCCAAAGGGCAGGGGACCTGCCATCGACCTGCCTCAGAACCCAGGACCCCCGGCGCTCGGTCCTCGCCCACGATGACCGCCCAGTGACCAGGTCCCTGTGCCTGCCCCCAGCTGTCACCGGGCCCACGCTTTCACGCACTCCACGAGCATTTCCTGGGCACGCACCGCCGCCAGCAACCGCTCCCCCACCGGCCTCCCCGGGCACCTCGCCTCACAGCGAGGCGCCAAGCCTAAGGAGCACACTCCACGGCCGCTGGGAGCACGGCAGCCTCGTCGGGAGTCGGGGGAGCCCCAGCCGCAGGGACCGTGAGCAGGAGGCAGCGGAGCGGGCCAAGCCGACCTGCGCCCGGGGCCTGACAGGCCAAGGAGGGAGGGGCGGGGGTCCCCACCCGCAGGGGTCCCTCAGCAAGGCTCAGTGTCTGCCACGGGCCTGTGCTCGGCCCAAGGGGGCCTGCATCGCACCCCTCTCAGAGCCCAGCGCCGGTCACCACGCCACCCACAGTGACCGCGGGGGCCCAAGCAGCTTGGCCCCAGCAGGCCGGAGCGGGCCCTACAGCCCTGGGCTTGGCCAGGAGCCGCCCAGAGCCACCCTGAGCCGCAGGGCCCTGGCCCAGGTGAAAGGAAAGCCGCACGAGCTCGGTCATGAGGGTTCCGGGGCCCAGAAATCCTGGCTCCTCTTCTCACCTCCCACGGGACACGCTACTCAGTCCCGGAACTCATCGCAGCCTCTAACGAGAGAAGCAGCAGCGGGTGGACGGAAACCTCAATGCAGCCGCGGCAACGCAGGGGGCGATTTTCGACTTGTTCTTGTCGTCGAGATAGTTTTTAAACACACAAGCAGGTGAGGACAGAGGCGCCTGCCAATCCAGACCGGGCACCGCTGAGGCTCCGACCAGCTGGTTACAAAGTCCCGGATCCGGCCTAACCGCGGAGACTCTTGCTTCCCTCTGCGTCTGACACAACCGAGCGCATTTTGAGAAATCCGCTTAAGCAACGAGACAGAGAGTCCTTAATCCAGACCTAACACAAGAGCCAGAGGCGGAGCGGGCACCGCCACGCAGCATGGAAGACCCTCCGGTCGGTCACGGGGACGATGGGGGCGCGGGAGGCCGCGCGCGCCCGACCTCGCAGGACCAGGGTGGGCGACGGAGCCCGAGTCCCCCGGGCGCGGCCCCACCCGCAAGCGGACGCCCGCCCGCCGCGCGCTGCGACCCCGCGAGGCCACCTCGACAGAGGCACGCGTGGGGCCGGGCCTCGCGGCGGGCACACCTTTCCGCCCGCCCGGGGGTCGCCCGGCCGCCCGGGCCTCTCCGCGCCGCGGCGTCCGCCGGCCCCGCCACCGCCGCCGCCGCCGCCGCCGCCGCCAGCCTCTGCGAAGCTCCGCCCCCGCCCACCCCGCGTCCCAGCCCCGAGGGAGGGTCGCCGCCATTTCCGGCTGCGGCGCGCCGCCCCCCGGCCCGAGGCCCCGCACACCCCGCAGACGCCTTGCCCCGAGACCCCGCGCGCCTTGCAGACGCGTCGCCCCACGGCGTCCAGCACACACCGCCGCCCCCTCGCCCTGCCGCCCGCCCCGGCCTGACGGGAGGCCCGCTGGGCCCGCCGCGAGCTTACCTGTCCGCGCGCCCGCCCGCCCGCCCGTCCGTCCGCCGGCTCCGCGGCTCCGCTCCGCGACGCTGGTGGTCAGCCGGCTGACGCGCTCCTCAGCCGGGGGTGCGCCTCGGGGACCCCGGGCAGAAGCGGCGGCGGCGGCGGCGGCGGCGGCGGGGGCAGAGGCCGAGGGCGCGGGAGCAGAACCGGCAGAGGAGGCAGGGGCACGCACGCTCGCGCACGCTCACGCACGCACCCGCACCGGCGCGCGCGCCCCCGGAAAGACGTGGGCTCCGCCGGTTCGTAGCCGCGGGCGGGGCCAACTGCGCGTGCGCCCAGATTGCTAGGCAGAGGCCCCGCCCACTAGGGGGCGTGGCTCCGAGTGACAGCCCGTGGGCGGGCCTCCGGAGCGGCGGGAGGAGCCAGCCCGGCGGAGCCGGAAGCGTGCGCCGCCAGGCCGCGCCTCGGTGATCCCGGGTGGGCCGGCCTGCGCTGCGACGAGCCGCCCAGAAAGGTGCGGGGACTGGTCTGGAGCTGAGTCTGGGGAAAAAGTAACTGATCGCGTCAAAGAACGGGGAGCGGAGCTGCTCGGAGACGAGCCGCGGGCCGCCCGCGCTCCGCAGCCGCGGTGGGACTGACCTTTGCGCAGCGCCGGAACTTCCTGCCTTCGTGATCAGCCACCGAAGGGCCCCGCCAGCATCCGGTCGCCCGCCCCGAGCCGCCCGCGCTCGACGGTGCGGAAGGGCAGGAGAGCTGCTCCCACGCTCGTCCCTCCCCGCGCGGCCGCGACCCCCGCTGGTTGCACCGGCTGCGAAGGTGGGGAGGCCGGCCCGCCCGCCGCGCTTCCCCAGGTAGACTCGCTGTGAGCGTAGCAGTCCTGCCGTTCACCGCCCGCCTGCCTGCCTGCCAGGCTCCGCCCTGTCTACCTCTCCCGCTCCCTCCGCCTCGGCCGTCGCGCTGTTCCCTCTTCCCTCGAAGGGTCCAGCCCGTCCCAGGCTCGGGGCCTGTAAGGGGCGGAGAGCTCGGGACGTCACCTGGCGGTCCTTACCCCCCGCAATGTCAAGCCGGCTGCAAGAAAAGGCAGGTGGATAGCTGTGCTTCTTGATTCAAGAGGATGAGAGGTTTCAGGCCAGAATCACAGGAAAAATGAGAGAACAAAAGGGACCCAGCATCGTGCTGGGAGCAGCAAGAACGAATGAACCAGGCCTAAGCGAACCCCTCGCTGACGTAGCAGTGCCGATGTGGCGACATCCTTCCTACGAACACGTCCTGCGAACAGAAACAGGCACGTACACCAGGCTGCTCTCGACGGCGTTAGAACAGTGACGTTGGAAACGGGCCTACTGCGCAAGAGCACCCAAATGATACAGGAAAAGAATGGACAGAGGGGCTACCTAATAACAAGCACTTGTGTTACCTCCTGAAAGTAAAAGGAGCAAGGTGTGTGATACATAAAAAGTACACTATTGCAACTGTTTATAAACACAGCCAACCTGTTCGGAGCTAAGGAGACAGGAAGGATGGGGACAATGGCCACAGTTAGGCCCCGTGCCTCTCGTGCCCTCTGACCGGGCGTGGCCGACCCTGCTGTTCCCACCCGAGGCTTTGAGGAAGCCCCCACCCTCAAGGCCAGCCCAGCGGTGCCCTCAGCTCCACCCTGGCCACCGTCTCCCAGCTCCCAAAGCTCACCCCACACACATTAGCCACCTAGGGAAACACCATGTCCTCCCCAACATGTGGACACGCAAGGCCCTGGAGGACCGGGCTGGCTCCTGTCGAAATCACCCTTGTACCCCTACAAAAGGGGACCCTAACCCTCATCCTCAGGCCATTTAAACATTTAACAAAGCCTCCCTGAAACCCATTTCCTAGATAAACGAGGGCGAATGTTGCCTGCGGGTCTCCCCACCGTCTGCCCAGCCCACTCTGGGGTTGACTGTCGCGTGGAGATTCTCGTGGGGGGAGTCACCGGCTTCCTCCGCTGGTACCCCCCGGGCAGGCCCGGCTCCCTGACCCCAGAGGAGGGGTGGTGCTCCCAGTCCTGGCGCTCCCTGCTGCGACCGCGCAGGCCGCTGGGAACGGGCCCCCTGGGAAGCTGCGGGCAGCAAGGGGCGGAGGCTCTCCGGCCAGGGCCCCAGGGGCGGGTACGGCAGGCACTGCAGGGCGTGGCAATGGCCTGCGTGGCACCTTTGGAACAGGAAATGGGATGGGAACCCACATCCACGTTTGTTTTTGCATCAAGAAATACGGGATTAACAGGCTGCAGTCACAGAGGCGGGGGGACAGGCCTTGTCACCGCGTTGAACCCTCTACACAAGAGCACCCTGGAAACTTGCCAGGAGACTAAAAGGCAATGTAAAAAATAGAAATTAAAAAAGATGGAAAACCTACCGGAGCCCCTGCTTGGGGCGGGCCTGCCGCTGCTTCTGGAGCCTCCCCCGTCCCCCGCCACCGGGTGCTCTGTGCCCACCTTTGCTCTGCTCGCCACCTGCCTTCTAGGCGGCGTTCCCCATCTTCACGCGGTTCCAGCGCTGCAGCGGGGCCACGAGCCGACAGGGCCAACAGCCCACGGCCCCCTCGGCGACCTCCATGCACCGGCCCCAGGGGTGCGGCTGCCTTGCTCTGCACCAGCTGTTACAGCAACCAGACACTCGGACTGCGAGCTGCGCTCCTGCAGGCCACCCTCTCGGTGGGCCAACGCCGGCTGCTTGCTCAACCCCCACGGTGCGGCCGCCCAGTCCGCCACCCGGCTCCCTCCCCGCGGCCTCCCCGGCCCTGGGGACCCGCAGACCGTCGCTGTCAGTCTCTCAGGGGCTTCTGTCGCAGCAAGCGAAGGCTTGCAGTTCGTACTGGAGATCACCTATTTCCTCCCCGCCTCCCCCCAGAGTGCAGACCCATGGCACGAGGGGTCTTGTCCGTTGGTTTGTGCCCCTTTCATCACCTTCCTGAACAAGTAAGACACGCCACACAAGATGAAGTGCACGTTCCCCCAAACGAATTCTTTATTGACAGACTGCCCGTTACTCACTTTACGGAAAAGACAAATCAGTGACGAGCCCCGCACCCCGCCTACCCCCCCCCCCCCGCCTGAGATTCTAACTCTGAAGAAAGCACAGGAGCGTGGACTGCAGTCCCCGGGGGGCACACGGGCCACACGCAGGCGAGGTCTGCGCCCACTAAGAGCCAGTAAGGCACAAGCTGCCCCTGCGGACACACCGGACACCTGGGGCCCTGGGCGGCGGCTGCTGGGGTGCGGCAGCTTCCAAACGGGAAAGTGATCTTCGTAACTCCTGAGAAAAGGCGGCAGCGGAGGTCCAGCGGACCCCACACCCGGCCCGACCCTGCCGGGCCGGGTCCCCGCGCTGCCCGAGTCCCGGGCGTCAGCAGGTGGGCGGATGGAGCCTCCGAGAGTGCCGTGCCGGCCGGGCCTGGCGAGGCCTGGCCCCACGAGGGCAGCGCAGCCGCCCTGGGGGTGGCTTTCCTTCCTCCTGCCCCCACCTGAGGCCCACGGCCCACGCTGGCGGGAGCTGCCGGGGCCCAAGAGGAGGAGGGAGGAGCTCGGGAGTGAGGGGAGCTGCTGACACAGGCGGGTGGCCCCTCGGGCAGGCGCAGAATTCTGTGCGGTGTTCAGAACCCACTAAAGAACTCTCCCTTCTATGTATAAAAATGTAATAAACAAATAAAGTATAAGGTGATGTAAGGCTTGTATTTCAGCTTGAGTCCAAACAAGTAATATTTTCTAACTATGAGGCTAAAGCTGCTCTGCTTAGTTTTAAATTTTGAAAAATTCACTGCATTTAAAAAATAAAGAGTTTGCTTTACTTAAAGCTATAGGTCATTAGTGTAACAACCCGGCAGCGGCTGATAATCAGGTTTCTCCTTGGAGGGCCTCCGAAAACAGACAATTCCCTTGTTTAGCATTTTGAAAGAACACCCACAGGTCAGACGGGGCACAGAGGAAGGGCGAGCACATGCAACGCCGCCGGCCTGACCCCGCCCTTCTTCCCAGGTGTCAGCAAGCCGAGCACCTAGCCCGCCCGCCCCGGCCCCTTCCTGCCCCCAGAAGGATGGCACCACGATCTGCTGCGTCTACCGGCTTTAGTGGAAAGCATCTGTGCACAAGGCTGTCCCCTAAGACATGCGGTGCGGCAGCCCCGTCCACGGTGGGCGGCACCGCGGCGCGGCCCCCCAGGCCGCATCCTCCCACGGCCGCTGCTGTCCTGCCGCCCGGAGGGGCCGCCGAGGCGAGGGGCGCTGGACGTGCTCCGTGGCGGCTGAGGCTTCGGGCTTAGCGGGGCGCATGGCCGGGCTCCTCGCCGTTCCCGGCCGGGGAGGTGAGGCCATCGCTGCCGTCCTCTCTGCCGCCTGCCACCTTCGACTGCAGACGGGGAGACCAGGAGGAGAACCTGAGGCAGAGCACACAGGCCCCGCCGGGAGCTCCCGGTGCCCCATTTCCCACATGAGCTCCCAACAGCGAACACTGCTGAGCAACACAATGGAACAAGCCGCTGGTGTGGGCCGCCGGCTGGGACGCCTCCCCGGAATCCCGTGGAGCGATGAGGGCACACAGGTCGCCCACTGGGCGGGCCCACTCAGGACGTTCCCGGGCGACCAGACCGTGGGCCGGGAGAGGCGGCCACTGTGTGCCGGGGGCGGGGGGGCTCCGTGAGGGGCCTCCGCGGGGTGGCCCGCTCTCGGCCGACCGTGTCAAAGCCAGGTCCTGATGTGACGCTGTGACACCCCACCCTGGGAAACTGGGGAAGGGGCAGGGCTCCCTGTGCTGGCTCCTGGAACTGAACGTGAATCTGCGACGGTTCAGTCAGTTCCCCCACGTGGCAGGTCCCCGCCAAGAGAAGGGAGCGCTCCAGGCCGTTACCTTTATAGTCCCCACGCGGTCCTCCAGCGACTTGAAGGTGGCAGAATTCCTTGAAAGAAAGAGGAAGCAGAAGTCAGCACGAGGAGCACAGGGCTGTGTCGCCCGCCTGGACGCCAGGGCCTCCAGGTGAGGGTGCCCTGAGGCCTCACTGCAAGACGCGCCTCCCAGAGGGCCCGGCCAGGGCCGTTCCGGGGGCTTCACCAGGTCGGAGCCGGGTCAGCCATGCTCACCGGCCACAGGGACGGGAGACCCGCAGGCCGCCCGCTGGGGCACGGAGTCGTCATGTGCGCTCCACACGCAGCCCTGCTAGCACGATGCCAGAGAACGCCCGCGGCAGCCGGGACAAGCGCACGGTGAGGACGGGACGGGAGGTGAGAGCACGCAGCCCTGCCCCACTGGCACCCTCCTCCACGGCGCCCAGGCCCCTGCCGGCCACACACCCCATCGCAGACTCCCAGCGAGCTCTGGGGCGTGGCAGCTGCTAGTCCTTTGACAAGGACGGGCTCGGCAGGGAGAAAGCTGGCCACAAAGCAGACAGAACAGCCTCCCTAAAAGGCCTGGAGACACCTGCAGCCACCAGGCGTGAGGGGGGCCTCTCTGCCCCTCGCCAGCCCGGCCCAGCGGGCAGTCCTGCAAAGCTCCAGGGGAGCGCGGTGTGGCACTGTGGCCCCCTCCGAGCCTCACCCCCACTAGCTCTTTGGCCTGGGAGGGGTCTTCCCCAATCCTTATCCAACAGGAGGCTGCCAGGGGAGGGTGGGCCTCACTCAGGGCGGTGGGAAGCCCCCTGCCCCCCGGCTCCCACCCCGGCTCCGGGAGCTGCGGGCGCACGCGTACGTTACCTCATGGCTGGCATACTTATCGAGTGGCGGATGGAGTAGCCGCTGCTTGGAAGCGTGGCAAAAGCAGAGAAGGAAGCAAGAGTTAAGGCGAGGACAGAGTAGCCTTCACTGGACTTTGCAAAGGGGGCACCAGGACCCCCACCCCCAGCACAGTGGAAATGAGCAGAAAGAAGCTTCATGAGGCCCCTCAGCAGGAGGCACACTCAACCCAGGGCTCCTCTCCCCCCAGGGTCGCCCCAGCAATGTGGCGCTGCCAAGGGAGACAGCCTGGAGCCCCAAAACACACAGCTGTCACAGGTCCCTACTTGACTTCAGAGCAAACTAGGTGACTTTTTGGCAAAAGAGGAACCACCAGGTCAAGTGAGTAAAAAGCACCGAAAACCCGAGGCTGTTCAGAGTTTGGGCTCCAAGCCTCCAGGCCTCCAGGCCAGAGGAGCGTGTGACCGGAGAGCTGGCGCCGCCCGGACCGGCCTCGCCGCTGCCCCAGGGCGGCCAGAGCCCCTGGGCCCATAGCGGGGAGCCCCAGCCCAGGGACGGACACGCCTACGTGCATCACGTGGCCGGGGACAGCCCGCAGGGACCGCCGTGCGTTCCCAGGCACCTCGCCACGCCGGGGGGCCCCGCGGGCACTTCACCCCCGCCCCCCGCACTGCCTGCCCCCGGCCGGAGCAGAGGGGCCACCCCAGGCCACCCGCCTTACCTAAGGGAGTGTGAGAGCGGACGGGCCCTGAGCGGCGGCAGCAGGAGGAGAAAAGAAACACGCGTTAGGCAGAGGCCAGAGCCCGCCCCCGCCCGGCACGGCACACAACCAAGCAGCGCACGGCCCCATGGCGCTGCTCCGCTGGGCGCAGTCGGGTGCCGGGGACCCTCGTGTCCACGCCCGTTCAGGGGCTGGAGGAAAGGAGCCCCAAAGAGTGGAGCAGCACAAAGGGGGGGGCCGCCCCCGGGAACCGAGCCAGCCGCACTCGCCGCCACGGCGCACACCCAGTCACGGCAACGGAGCCGGCGCCCTCCCGCCTCAGCCCTCCACGCTCCGGCTCTGCCACCAGGAACGACAGAAGCCACTCAGAAACGATCATGTGTCCAAGGACAGGGCGTGGGAGGGGCATGGCCACCGCTCCATCGCCGAGCCCGCTTGCTGCCTCAGATGCTGCGGAGGCTGCCCCCCGTAGACGCTGTCTGGTGGGGCGGCACGGGCACAGCCGCGGGGCCTGGCGTGTCCCTGCTGTTCGGGGAGCAGCACAGGCCCCTCTCCCACCCACGCCCCAGGGCACAAGCGCTTCTCAGGCCAGGCCAGGGCCGCTCCAGGGCACGCGCTGTGGCTTCTGGCCTGGGGCGGCTGTCCTGGAGGCCCCGGCCCCCAGCGCCTCAATGCCTAGCAGGGGTCGCCCAGCCCCAGGCTCCTGGTGCAAGCCCCTCCTGAGCCCAACTTCCATTCAGGCGTGAGCGGGCAACCTCAGACCCGAAACCAGGGGGGTACCCGCCGAGGCCACGCGGTGAGACACTGGGGCCACGTCAAGGCCAAGACGTCAGAGCTCACAGCACCCTGGGAAGACGGAGGAGTCCCCGGCATGAGACACACCAGAAAGCAGGTCACTCTCTCTCAGCCCCTTGAACACGGCCTGGCTCCTCCCTGGTGGCCCATGCACGCAGAGCGCAGGTGCCACATGTGCTCAGACTGGACAGCGAGACCGGGCACAGGCTCAGAGCAACCCCAGCATCGCTGCAATGGGAAGCCACGTGCTGCCGGCCCTGCCACGAGCCGGCGGCAAACGGCAGGCCTCCGAGCAGAGACGGGAACGTCTGCCCTCCCGGAGCCACAGGCCTGCACAGCGCCCCTCGGAGGCGCATGCGTGGCCCATCCCCAGCGGAGGGCGCGGGAGGCACAGCGGACACCTGGGCCTCCTTTGGTGCCGACGAAACCCAGCATCTGAGGAGGGAACGGGCGCAGCCCCGCACACTGCTGCTCTGGTGGCACCAGGCTCACCAGTCACGGCTCAGGGGCCCCGCAGACGCCCTGGCGCACAGCAGCGACGGCACCCCATCTCCTTTCACAAGAGACGCGTCACAGGGACAGGCCCGAGCTGGCATGGGCCACACGGGGGCACCTCTGGGGGAGACGCGCCACAGGACCCCTGGCTGGCAGGGCAGAGCCCCATCACAGCCGCGCTGGGCAAGGCCTGCGCCCACAGGGCGACCCGCCAGGACCCCCAGCTGCTCACGAGCTCGACCAGAGCCCCAGGGCAGGGGGCGCAGTCCCCGGGCACGGAGGGAGCATGTGGGGTGCCTCCCTGTTCAGCTTCTCCTTTTAAAGGCTTGAAATGTTTCCAAATAAAGTTAAGGTAGAAACAATTACATCAAACAGAAAAGTAAAAGGCGAGTGGGGTTCTGGCAAGCGCCGCCGTGCGCTGGGCGGCACGGGTCCTGCAGGGCACGGGAGCACTTGTCTCCGCCTCTGGCTGAGCGGCAGCTGCTAGGCCTGTGAGCGGGAAGACGCCCAGCCCAGCAGGGCGGAGGTGAGGGTCAGCACGGGCGTCCCCAGCACCCCAAACCCACGGGCTGCGAGGCCGTGTGACTCCCTCGGGCGGGGCGGTGAGGGCTTCCGAGGGGTGGAAGCAGGGAGGAAGGGCCGCAGGCTGGCGAGGACCCGCCCGCCCCACACGGCCACTCCCTGCCGCTCTCCTCCTGGTCAAGGGCGCCGCTCCGGCAGCCCAGCCTGAACCCCGCTCCGCAGGCAGAGTGCACAGCCCCAGGCGCTGGACCACACGGCGCCCCGGGCCCTGGGCTGTGCTCAGAGCACCTTCGGCAGCCATACAGGTCTGGCCAGCCTTGCAAAGCACATTCCGCTGGGCCCCGGCGTGGGACCCAGGCCGGGCACACGCCCCCAACACAGCACCAGGCTTGCCCCGGGCAGGTCCTGGCGGTCACCTGCCCAGCACTTGCCCACCCCAACATGCCCACCAGGCCAGAGTCACGCCCGCTCCAGGGTTTCCACGAGCCACTCTAATGGTCCTGCCCTCCCTGGTCCTGCACCCGACGTCGAGGCCCCACGACCGCCCTCCCCCGAGCAGCAGAGACACGGTGAGGCCCCTGCAGACCGTCCTCAAACTAGCTGGGTGGGGGCTGGAAGGGGCTCCTGAGACACGGGCCTCTGAGCCCTGGCCCGCAGCAGCTCTAAGACCAGGGTGTCTGACCTTTTGGTGTCTCTGGGCCACACGTTCCATATACCAACACTAACGAGAACTGATGAGGAAAAAAAAGATCTGTGCATCACTTCCGTGATATCCGCCACTGCAGAAGAGCAGGAACGTCCTCGTCTGAGAACCCTCGTTATCACGTTATGCAGCGGCCCTTTCGAGACCCGTAAAGTCGTCAAGCAGGTCCCAAGTCTGTGATCGCTAACGTACAAGACGTACCTAAGTAACAAAACATCAATGATGCCCCTTTTTGTATTTTTTCATAATAAAAGGAAAAAGGGCAACATAAAACTAGTGGGATGTAGCCCAGGCTGGTGCGGCTCAGCGGACTGAGCGCCGGCCTGCGAACCAAAGGGTCGCAGGTTCAAGTCCCTGTCAGGACGCAGGCCTGGGTCACTGGCCAGTCCCCAGTAGGGGGCGCGTGAGAGTCGACCACGCATGGATGTTTCTCTCCCCCTCCCTCCCCTCTGTGCAAAAATAAATACAACTAAAAAAAAAAAAAAAACAAACCACCACCACTGGGATGTTTGACATTGTATTTGAGAGACTAGTGTGCTAATACTTGGTTTGATAGAAGTGGCCGCAATTCTTAGTGAGTTCTCAAGGTGCTCATCAGAGCCTGTAGTTCTAATTTTACTCTTCCCATGTTTCATTCTCGGAAATCGCTGCTCACAAACGTAGGCGCTGCCAAACAGCGAGGGCAAGTAAGGCGTGACTGGGAAGCGAGGAACGTCATCTCTGGGAAGGCGGGACCTACCACTCAACACGGAAGTGCTTTGACCGTCGGAGGAGCACGCTTACCCGACTTCTGAGTGACACGCGTGTCTAACACCGCGAGGGTCGCCTGACACGTTCCTGACAACCGCGGCCTCCTGAGTCACCACGAGCGCGCACGAGGCCTTCCTGGGTCACCGCCACTATCGGCACGGGACGGCCGCACACACACACCCACACACACACACACACACACACACACACACACGAACGTCTGCGCGACGTGACAGCGCGACGTGCAGTCACCGACGAACCCGCGGTCTTTCACGGGAGCTCGGGACTCGCTGTGGGGCCGCGCTGGCAGGCACCCTGGGCCGCACGTGGCCGCGGGCTGCACGCCCTGGCTCCGAGAGACCGAGCCTCCGCGGACTGGCCCGGGCCTCAGGGTGGAGGGGCGGGGCCTCACCTCATGTCCCCAAGCTTCCTGCTGATGGCAGAGCCCATGGTGGACAGGGCAGCTGAAGTCTTCTGTCCCGCCTGGGAGAGGGTTTCCTGAGTCTTCTTGTAGCTGGGAGGAAGAAACACAGTTAAGCCAACCAAACCCAGGGGAAATCCACTCCCCACGTCCACAGCCAAGGACACAGAGCGCCCAGACGGCACGGGGCGGCGGTCGGGGGCACCGCCTCAGCCCGACAGAGACCCCAAGGGGGCGCAGCGGCGCAGCCGTGACCGCCAGGCCTGTGGCCTGCCCTCGCTGCGACCCCCAGCCACCCGCCCCCCTCAGGGCGCCCCCAGCCCCAGGGCTCCCTCGCCTCCGCCTGGCGGCTCGGGCTCTCGAGGAGCAGCACCTGGGGCTGCAGAGGCCCTGGGTCTGGGGCCGCAGCCAGGAACGTCCCCTGGGCTCCCTGCCGCCGTCCTCAGGAGGCTCCCCCGCCGCCGTCTCCTGCGAGGCGGCCCTCGCAGCCCCGCCCCGGCCCGCCACGACCTCCTCCAGCGGAGGGCCCCTCCGGCCGCCCCCTGCCGCACCGTCCCACTCCGTCCGCAGAGAACCGGGAACCCCCAACCCCCACCTCGAGCCGCCGCTTTCTGTTCCAGAACCTGGTCCTGGCTCACAGCGAGGGCGCCCCTGGGCCAACCTCGAGAGCTCGCGCCCGTGGCTCTCGGCCCCCACCCAGCTGCTTCCATCAACAAGTCACGGCAGCCCGAACCCAAGAGCTCCTTGCTGCCCAACCAGGCGACTCACAGCAACAGCCTAAGGTGGCTGAGCTCTCAAGACACCAGCCCACACAGGGCGCGCGGACGTCCCCACCAGCACAGGGGGACGGGGGTCAGAAGGCCCCAGCAGCGAGCCTCCTGAGCCTCCCCGCCACCCGCTCTGCACTGCCGCCTGCGGGGGTCCCTGAGAGCGCCCATGGCCCTCCTGCTTCGGGCCAGCCTCCGGAGCACCCAGCCTGCCCGAGCCGGCCCTCACGCCCAACAGCGTCCTTGCCTGGAGCTGCCCCCACACCATGACGCATCTCAGGGCCCAGCAGGGCCTCGGCAGCCGAGGGGGAGGGGCACCGGGGATGGGGGCCCACGACAGGCCTGCCGAGGGAGGCTCTGCCGCTTCTCTGGGCCGCGCAGGGCCTGCCGGAGCCCCACCCCCGAGACCTCGCCTGACACGAGGCTTTTGTTTCAAAGGGAGTTAATAACATCACCTGCGAGAAACAGCCTTCTGTGCACCTGCAGCCACGGCATTAGTCATAAAACACCAGGGGCGAGGGGAATAAGGACACGCAGCGTCTCCTTTCGGAAATCTGAGTTCAGAGCCCGTCTTCACACCCAGCCCTTCCCGAGGGAGCGGCGGGGGCTCGGGGGCGGGATGGACTGAGGCCGGGGTCTGGGGGCAGCGCTTCGCGGAGCCGCCGCGTGTGCCCACACGGCCAGGCTGGGACACGGACATCGCTGAGGACGCGCAGGGGCATCCTGGAGGACAGTGCCCTGCGGAGCCGTTCCCTGCCCTCCGCAGCCCTCGGCGGGTCTGGGGTGCGGGGACGCGTGTCACTAGAGGCTGTCCCTGGGACCTCGGTCAGAAGCCAGTGAGGGTGACAGGCCTGGGACACGGCCGGCGTCTGCGTCCCGGGGAGCGGTCCCCCCGCCCCCGTGTCTGAGCGCAAGCTGGCGCCGCCCCGGGCACCACTTCCCCCTTCTGGGAAAGCACAGAAGCAGGGCCCTGAGACACGCCTGCCTCCTCCCGCACCCCCCTCCCCGGTCGTGCCCCCCCCCCCCCCCCCCCCGCAGCGAGAGCCACACGGGGCCGCACTGCTGCTGGGCGCCCCTTCGCACCACAAAGGAGGAACTGAGACCAAAGCCGCTGTGCGGGGAGCAGACGGCCCCCAGCCCCCGGTGGGCGGGCCTGGAGCAGGGGCGTCTCGCGGCCAGGCCTCCCGTGCTCCAGCGACCCGCAGCGCTTCCTGTCGCTGCAGCCAGAGGACTCTGCAGGCACTGCCCTGGGTCAGCTGGTGCCTGTGCGGTGCCGCCAGCCGCTCTCAGGTCAGCGCCACTGAGAACTGCTGACGAGAAAGAGCCCGCGAGGCGACCGTTTCGCCATCCGCAGCGCCGCTGGGCTTAGGCTCAGCCGTGGAGCCCGAGGAGCCGGGGGCTGAGAGCGGCGGCATAAGCGCCCTGCCCAGCACAGCCCCACGAGTGCTGGGGAGACGGGGAGACGGGCCCCCCACCGCGCTGGCCCCGCTGGACGCCCTGCCAGCTGCTCTGCTTGGGATGCGGCCAGGCTCCCAGGGCCCCTCCCCTCCGGAAGGCGTGCAGCCCGCCTGGGCGGTCCCAGGGGATGCGTCCCACTGGGGGCGTTGCTCCAACAACTCTGCCTCCGACGGGGTGGGCTGAGACCTCGGGGGGGGGGGGGCCGCACAGCTGGCCACACGCGGCCAGGCCCGAGCCACGGGTCCCCTCGGTGGCCGGAGCTGCAGTCACCCGCGGCTGCAAGCCAGCTGCTCCCACCGGACGGCGGCCGCTTCCCGACGAAGTGTGCGCTGAGACCGGCCCGGTGACAGCCGCCCCGTGCACCCGAGCGCACACGGCCCGCACTCTGCCAACACCCGCTGCGGCGGCCGCCGCCGGTCGCGCGCGAGGCCCCGTGCACCCGAGCGCCGGCGACCACCGTCTGCGGGGGCTCTGCGCACAGCCAGCGCCCCAGGCCCCTCCGGGGTAAGCGGGGCGGTGGCCCCTTCCTCTGATCCGCACCGCAGGACCGCGGCAGGACTTCTTAACAGAGACGGACACACCCAGAAAACAGCTGTTTCTAAACACCACCCCTCCCAGCCCAGAGAGCCAGAGCCAGCGCAGGTGAACGAAGCTCTGCCGTTCCCTCGGAGGACCTCCGGCAGAAGGCCGCGGCCGCCCTCCGCTGGGTCTCCCGCACGCCGCTGGCTCCGTGGGGCCAGCCGCTGCGTGTTGCTCAGACCGCTCCTCCGGGATCCCGCAGCATGGCCCCCCCAACTCAAGGAACCCCCCCCAAGGGCAAGTGAAGCTCTGGAGACCCCACAGCTGGAGCTGGGTCTACCAGGGAAGGACGCAGGACCGAACCCCCCAGGCTCCCCCACCCATACGGGCCCGGAGGCCCTCGACTGCCTGCCTGCTGTGGAAGCTGAGCACCTTCCAAAGGGCGCCAGATGCGCTGCCTGGGCCCAGCCCACGCCTCCCCTACGGGGCGCGTGCTGGGCCGAGAGGTGCTCAGCGTGGTCTGGAAGCTGAGCCCCTTCAGCGACGGAGCCCCTGCTCCAGGAGGGTGGAGCCACTTCCCTTGCGTTTGAGAGGGAAAAAGATGAAAAACAGAACAGCCCGAAAGCCCCACACGAGGTCTGTGCCGAGTGTACTCAGCCTGCCTGTCCCTACAAGGCGTGGCGGGGGGCGGGGCGGGCGCTGACGGCAGAGGCACTCACAGGTCCGACTGGGTCACTCTCTCATTCCACTCTCCGAGTTTCTCAGAAGTCCTCACATAGCTAAAACAGAAAGTCTGCAGTGAATCATTTAGAAGAACTATTTCAACTCAGGGTTCGAACTGCAGGCAAACTTCCGGGGAAACGGCACCGGGAGCCTGCAGCCACCCGAGCGCGGGCTGAGGCGGCGGCAGGAGAGAGGCCCACTTCCAGGCGGCTCCTGGGGACACGGGGCTGTGAGGGCCAAGAAGCGAACGGCCCGCAGCCCCACGGCACCTCTGTGACGGCCATGCTTTGAGACCGAAAACCCTGTGAGTTCTCTGAGAGAAATGGGCTCCTCACAGGGAGGTTTAGAGAATGGCACCGAACCTGCCTCTCTGCGGGGACGTGGCCTCTTCGACAGGGGCGACACCCCCGCAGCCCCACCACGGAGGACACACGTCGGGGGCCCGCAGCGGCACCCCCCAGCCCCGAGAGCTGAGCCACGCTGGGTGCAGCGGTCCTGAGCTGGGACCGCATCGCACTCAGGAGAAGGGCTCGGTCCACCTGAGCTGACGCTGAGCTACCGGGACCCAGGCTCATCCAGGACCTGAAGAGGCTTTGCTCTCATGCAGACCCTGCCCCGGCGGGTGCGGCTCAGGGGACTGAGCGCCGGCCTGAGAACCAAAGGGACCAGAGGGTGGCCGGCTCGATCCCCAGTCAGGGCACAGGCCTGGGTTGTGGGCAGGTCCCCAGTGGGGGATGTGTGAGAGGCTGCCACACATGGATGTTTCTCTCCCTGTCTCCTTCATTTCCCCGCTCTAAAAATAAATACATAAAACCTTAAAAAAAAAAATTCAGATCCCAAAACGCACCCACATCCACATCCACCTGGACAAGTGGCAGAGTCCCGTCCCCCCGCACAAACCGAGCTCTGGGAGCAGCGGGCAGTGCCGCTGGCCAACGTGCGAGGTGCCCGCTCCCAAGAGCCACCCCCCACGGCAGAGGCCCCTCTCCGCGCCCCTGGCGCCCCCCGCCGAGCAGGTACCTACACGGTGGAGCCCTGCACGTCTTGCCAGCTGCGGGACAGGTTCTGCTTCAGGCCCTCCAGGGCCGAGAGCCCCAGCTTCCGCCTCAGCTCCCCGCAGTGCCTCTCCTTGGCTGCCAGGACCTGGCGCAGAGTGACAATTTCCTCTTCCACCTGCACAAGGACGCAGGGACACGGTCAGCTGCCCTGCTGCAGGTGACCGACACCCCCACACGCTGCGGCGAGAGGGCGCCCGCACCCCCGGCTTCTCGGGGCCGCCTTGCAAGCGGGTGGCTTAGCAAAGCCCACCAGCGGCAGGCACAGTGGTCGGGGCGTGGATCGTGCCCCTTCCGCCCGGGGCCCTGGGTCTGAGCTCGGGCGCAGGACCTGAACGTCTGCAGCCGACACCCCCCCACACCGGGGAGGACTCCACAGGCAGGAAGCAGAGCTTACAGGACAGACGGGCGTCCAGGGACCCAGGTGACAAGAGAAACCACCCTCGCGGCACCTCCTGTGCTCCCAGGGTCGGCGCTGGGCCTTGGCCAGAGCCAGAGCGAACGCCAAAGCCTTTTTGTGCTGAAGGCAGTTCCAGCTGCGTAGCAGCAAGAGCCCTGAGCCTCCCCAGCCTTGAAAGGAAAAGTGACGCCCGTGGGGAGCCCCCCCGAGAGCCCCACGGCTCCGGGTCTCCCGCTCCTGCACAGAGGACTGCTCTCAAAGAATCAAAAACCAAACACAAAACACACCCGTCCTCAGAAACGGCTTGTTTGGGTGAAGGCGCTGACACTGGCTCGAGCTGTGTGTGCGCCCCTAGACTCTGCCTTAGGAAGTAGGGGCGGCATGAAGTTCGTTTAGTTTTGTCCACACGACAGTCCCAGCGGCACTGGGCTGCCTTTAACCTCACGCGGAGCAACTGTTAGACTCTGCTGTGACAGCTGTCACAGCGGCGTGTGTTAAAGGCTTGTTTATTTTTAGGGAGGGGACAGGAAGATGAGAGAGAGAGAAAGAGAGAGAGAGAGAGAGAGACAGACATCCACATGTGGCTGCCTCCCGCACCCCCCCCCCCCACTGGGGACCAGCCTGCAGCCCAGGCCTGCGCCCGACTGGGAATCGAACCGGCCACCCTTGGGTCCGCAGGCTTGGTGCTCAGTACATGGAGCTGCACCCACCGGGGCTCAGCATGCATTTTTTTTTTAAAACATCAAAATTGGTGAATTTTTGTGCAGCCATTTTAATATTGGAGATGAAGGGAGATATGGAGCATTTTTGGCATATCATGCTTTATTACTTCAAAAAAGATAAAAATTCAAAAGATTTATGCAGTGTGTGGAAAAGGTGCTGTGACTGATTGAACACGTCCACAGCGGTCTGCAGTGTTTCTTGGCGCTAGTGACATTCTGGCCAAACAACTCTTCGCTGTGCGGCCGCCTTACGCCCTAGCAGGTGTTGAGCAGGGACCCTGGCCTCCAACCACGGAAGCCAATAGCAGGAGATCCCTAACATACTCCAATTATCCAAATCAGTAAAGTTACTAGTGAAAATGAAAAAAAAATTTTTTTTTTCTTACAAAAAAACAAAACGGACTGTCTGAGCCACCCCAACTGTTGACCGCCGCGCGCTCAGGTGGCAACAACTGCAGCCGCCACAACAGACAGGGCCCTGGGCACAGGCAGAGCCGCCCCGGGAACAAGCTGCCCGAGAACCCCAGGCACACGAGAGGCCCCCGCGACCGAGCTCCGAGGAGGCCGCGGGGTTGGTCTCGAGTCCAGTGCACGAGGCAGAGGGCAGAGCGCGCGTGTCCTCGGACTTCTCGCTGCTTCTCTGTGAGCGGCTGTTCGAGTCAGAAATCCCCACGTCCTTTCCAGGGCTCTGAGCTGGTCCTGGGCTGCAGGCCGCAGCCACACCCGGGGTTCACGTCCCCAGACTCTGGACTCTCCACTGAGCCACGACTGGACTCTGCTCTACATAGCAAAGAACACCTCTGGCAGCTTTGTTCTTAACCCCTATTTCCTCTTAAAGGGACTCTCACTTCAAAAAGCTTATGTGAAGCACTTGCACAAAAGAAGTATTTCTGAAAGAGACATCAAATCCCAGGGGCAGTGAGACTTGTGGGGTCTTGAAACCATGTCGTGTCACCTCCAACAGAGAAGCTCCCGGCGGGTGGCGCACACAGAGCGGCTGTCCCACCCACGAGGCGCCAGGCCCGAGGCCAGGGCTGCGGAGGGCAGAGGGCGGGGGCCGTGGGGCCGCGGGGTCGGCCGCCGCCTCCTCCACAGCCCCGCCAGCCCAGCCCCTGTTCGCCTAGGAGGCCTGCACTCACGGTCACCCCAGGCCCTGGGCCCGCCGCCCCAACGCAGCACCTTCGTGAGCTCGGCCCGCAGCTCCTCCTCCTCCGCTTCCGTCAGGCCCGTGGCAGCAGGCGTCGGGCCGGCCACCACCGTGTCCACGGCAACGTCCGTCATGGCGTCGGGCAGCGACCCTTTGTTGGGAGAGTTCAGGCTGATGTCTGCCAGAGACAAGATGGGTCCAGAAAGCGTGTCAGGGAAGGAGTTGCGGAGGCGCCCAGGGCGGCAGGAGGGAAAGGGTGCAAGGGCCGGCGGCAGGGTGGGGGCGGGCCCTAACACACAGCAAAGCCTCCGCTCCGGAAGCTTCTGGGAGGGTGGCCGGAGACTGGGGCAGCACACCCCAGGCACTGCCTCGGGCCTAAAACGCTGGCTCCCCGTGAGAGCCTGCGCCGGAGCCGGGGAAACTCTGTTGCGAGGCACTGAGCGCAAAGGGACACGACGCGGCTGCAGACGCCAGCGCCTCTTTCCAGGCGGCGGGCCCGCCAGAGCCCCTGCTGGGGTTGCACTCGAGGGGCGCCCTGCGGGGGGCCCGCGGCCCCGCCCGCCGTGTCCCCGGGGCCTCCAGGCACCGGGCCGCGCCGGCTGGGTCCCAATTCCAAGGTCACTGTTTTTGCTTCACGCTAAGTGAACCTTCCCGTCTGCACTGAAAGTTCATGATCACAACACAGGAAATGGGGGGGGGGGGCCCTACTCTAGTCCTGTCCTACCCTGACCGCACGCTGCCATTTAGTGTTTCTAGACACCCAGCACTGGAAACGCCTTCCCTTCGATCAGCACACTGAGAAGAAACAGCCTTTGTACGGTGTCTGGCACCTTAAAAAGTAAATGAAATAAAAAGCACAAAGGGTTAGGCAGAACTGAAGTGTTTTTAACTGCAGACATGTTTGCCTCCTGTCTGCTAAGTATAGATAGAAGGCACTTAAAACCAAAGACGCTCCACTTAGCTGCTGTCTCATTCCCTTCGCGCCCCACCCACACGCTCCAGCCCTGCGCTTCCTTGTTCTCCACGGATGTTTACAAAACGGAGCACGTCCACTTCAGAATCAACCGATCCTTAACTGGGATCAACCTACATGATGATGTTCCTTCATCATTTGTCCCTACTACGTTGAACCTACTCAAATCCAGTAAATGCTTTGAATTCTCTACACTTTCCCACTATTTAAAAAAGAAACACCCCGGCTGGTGGGGCTCAGGGGACTCAGTGGTCAAAAGGTCACCAGTTCAATTCCCAGTCAGGGCACAGGCCTGGGTTGCCAGCCAGGCCCCCATTTGAGGGCATGTGAGAAGCAACGACTCTCTTCCTCTTTCTCCCTCCCTTCTCACTTTCTCTATAAAATAAAACAATAAATAAAATGTTTAATAACAAATAAATAAACGAAGGCTCTCGGACCATTTCTGGCTAGAAAGCTAAAGCTGGATCCCACGGAAGTCACGCCCAGGCAGAACGTGCCGGGACGAACTCTGCATGATACCAGCCTCTCCACTCTGTGGGCAGGAGAGGGTCTTGCCAAAGGACCCCTAGGGAATGACCGTGGGGTGGCCCTTCACCCGGGGCGGCCCTGGCGCTCCAACCCTGTATGGCTATCTGCAGCTGGGAGCCATACGAGGACCGATCTCAAAGGGCTGCTCTGAAAACAGCAGGTTTAACACAGTGCCTGGCACACGGCAGGTGCTCCGTGAACATTCTCGGTCCTTCCCATGATCAGAATCCAGTCTGTGATGCTTAACTCATTAGGGGTGCAAAGGACACAGTAAAACGCATCCTGAACATCCCAAGGCCCCCCGCGGGCCTCAACTACTCAACTACTTCGTCAGGAGACGTCAAAAGCAGGAAAACCAAGAGCACGTTATCAGAACCCAGGAGTTCTAATGTTGAATTAACATTCTGATAAAAGCTTCCTGGAATTAGGCAGCGTAGTTATGTCAACAGAGAAATTTAGCAGCTCCCCCGCCCTAGAGCCTCGTAATGGGAGACAAACTAGTTATCGCCTTCTCAAGATTTGAATCTCCTGGACCCGAGCGGCACCTACCCCCGGCGGCCATCGCACACTGGTCCGGTGTCTGTCTGGAAACAGGCCAGGCACGCGGGGTGTGCCCCTGACTCACGGCGCCCTCCGCCTCCTGAGCCAACCTCGCAGGAGGCTGCGCTCCGAGCAGCGTTGCCACCCAAGGGGCGCCGCGCTGAACGCGAGGACGGCCTCACCTCCCCGATACTCCTCCGGGAGCCGCGCACACACTCGGCCCAAGTCCACAGGGAGTGTCTCCCAGGGCCCAGGGCAGGCACGGCGGGCGAGGGCCTAACCAGAGCTGCCTGCGGCGAAAAAGCCCAAAGCTCTGGGGTCTGGGGGGCGGGCGGTACCGGGGACCCTGTCCTCGCGGCAGTCCGAGCTGGGAGCGGAAGACACACACGCCGCGACCGCTGGGGCGCCGAGAAGAGCTGCGGGGCCGGGGAGGAGAGCAAGGGGCGCAAGAGTCCGAGACGCGACCCGAGGAGGGGCGGAGCGTGGGCCGGTAGGGCCCGGAGGCGGCGGAGGTGGCGGGCCCGCAGCTTACCTTGGCCAACAGAGTCCATGTTCAGACGGCGGCCCCGCCGCAGCCGGAGTCGCAGTCGGGGCCGGGGTCGCGAGCGCAGAAGACGAGCGGACACCGCCGGGAGACTCTCGCCGCACACACGCTAGCCAGCGGAACCGCTTCAGCCGCCGTGGCACTACGTAATCAGCGACGCGACGGCCCACTTCCGCTTTGACGCACGCTCCGCCTACGTCCTGCCCCCACGAGCACTGCCCAATAAGAGCGTTGCTTGGCCCAGTCCCCGGTCCACCTACTTCAACCTGATTGGCCAAGGTTGCGGCCGAAGCAGGAAAGGGAGGCCGTGATCTGAGGGCAGCCCTCCCAGGTCGGCTCCACCAGCGAGACGCCTAGGTAGAACGGCCCCGAGAGCCCGAGGAAGGTGGGAAGTGGGAGGGCTGGCCAACATGGCGCTACGGAAGCCCTCCACCCAGTCCCCTGGCAGGTGTCCAGGGTGTTTCCAGCTGCCGACGAGCGCCAGGGCTCACACACCTTGACGGGTCCGATTCAGACCGCTGGCGATCCCTCCCAGACCCGATCCCTGACTTTGGGGTTAGCCTCTGCCCCCAGTCCCTTTTTTAGAGTACCCATTTACAGGGATTGAAAATAAATAAAGGGTCGCCGGTTCGATTCCCTGTGTAGGGCACAGGCCTGGGTTGCGGGCCAGGACCCCAGTAGGGGGCGCGCGAGAGGCAACCACGCATGGATGTTTCTCCCTCCCTTCCCCTAATAAATAAATAAAATCTTTTTAAAAAGTGGCATAGGGGTCACACAGAAAAACGTATGATCATGATGCAGGCTCTGCTGCCCTGAACAGGATGGAGAGGACAGGTCCCCGTGCCGGCACCGGGCCTCGTGAGCGCGCAGACGCCCTTCGCCGGCCCGCTGCGGCGCGCGCTGGGCTCCTGGGCTCGTCTCAGCCGCCCCGTGCACCCGGTGGAGCCCTCCCACTTTACAGGTGAGGAAACTGAGGTTAGGGTGCCTTGCCAAGGTCATCCAGCTGCTGGAGTGGCTTCCAGAAGACTCTGGAACAAGAGCCTAACTTGCCAGACTTCTCAAAGGCCAGGTGGTACGTGACGTCAGGCAACCAGTCCTGTTAAGGCAATTCCCACGACTTCCCTCCTTTGTCTCCTGCTTTCCCTAGAAGCGGTCCTTAAATGCTCTCCAAAGCCTTTAGGATCTGACCGACCAGGGACTGCACTCCCGCTTCCAGCCCAGCCACGCTGACCCCAGGCATGGATGCCCCTTCCCCTGAATCCTTTCAGTCTCAGCTCAAAGCTCACCGTCTCCTACAGGTGTCTTCCTGTTACTCTCCGTCACCTTCCGTGCCGGCCTCTGCTTGCGCTTGGCCAGGGGCATCATGGCCATGTCCTGCTCTGGTGCTGTTATACGTTTGCCCCACTTTTTCAGTTTTTCCGGAGTTTCTTGCTCAACCCATCCTGGCCAGCCTGTCCCCAGAGGCTGGGGACCGCCTGTAGTCCCTGCTTCAAGCAGTTCAGGGCAGACAGTCACAGAGCAGCTGCGGCACGGATAGCGGGGAGCAGAGGGCTTGCCTCTCATCCCGCATGGCGTGTCTGAGCCAGGACCAAGGCCCAGGGCGGGCCTGGCTCAGCAGCCGCCCAGCAGCGGGTGACTGCTGACGGGAGCCCCACGTGCACACGCCACTGCATAGACCTGTCACCCTGATTCTGCAATCCCACTGGACCCCTCTCATAGGAACCGGGAGTGGACGCGGGGCGGGGACCCTATGGAGCGGGGGCATCACAGCTCAGGAAGGTCCAGCGGCTACGATGTGCTTCTGCAGTCGCTAATGTCCTTTCACAACTACGGGCAACGCGTCCAGGCCCCTCAACACTGTGTTTCCCGGAGCCCCCCTGGAACCCAGGCTCGGTGGACCCTCCTAGGGCCCCGCAGCCCACGCGCCCCCACCATCATTTCGAGGTGTTCGAGCCCCATTACACAGCGTTGCCATTAATCGGGTCAGGTTAATCTTTGCATTCCTTTTAGGAACTGGGAGCAGACGGGGACTTGTACAGGTGTCTGAGGGACGGAAGGGAGCTGGGAACAATGCCCTGCCCTCCCCCAGGTGGGGACCCCCAGGGCAGGCAGCTCTGCTGGTTGGGGGATGGGGAGGAAACAGCCCTGCAGGGGAGCGCTACAGCTTCCAGGGCAACTGGAAGTCCTCAGGCTCCAGCGGGCTGCAATGGGTCGCCTCCAGGTTCTTGAGGTGTTTGCGCGCCAGGAACAGCGCGAGCTGCCGGCGACGCCGCCGGCTCAAGCCCTGACCCACCATCCACGGGAAGGGGAGTCCGTGCGGCCCCCAGGCCTCCTCGTCCTCGCGCTCGTCCTCGCGCTCGTCCACGCGCTCGTCCTCGCGCTCGTCCTCGCGCTCGTCCTCGCGCTCGTCCTCGCGCTCGTCCTCGCAGCGCGCGCGGTAGGAGCGCAGCAGTGCCAGGCACCACTCGTCGTCCACGTGGTAGCGCGCGTAGAGAGCGTCCTCCTGCGCTGGGCTGGCGGCGCGCAGCCAGCGGGCGACGACGGCGAGGCCGTCCCGCGCCATCACCGCCGGGTAGCGGCTGCGCAGCAGGCACAGCAGCAGCTCGTTGCCGCGGTTGCCCTCCACGTCGCCGGCCGCCAGGGGGCGCAGGGGGCCCGAGGTGCTGACCACGTCGTCCAGAGTGCGCCGCAGCAGCAGCACCGGCCCTGGGTAGGCGCACAGCTGTTCGGCGACGTTGAGGTTGAAGTGCTCGCGCACGGTGCGCACCACCAGTCCCTTCCAGCTCTGGGGCATGACCTTCAGGGCCAGGGGCACAAGGTCGTCAAAGGTGGCGTCGAGCACCAGCGCCCCCAGCTCCGGGTAGGTCATGGTGGCCCAGGTGGCAGTGAAACCGCCAATGGACCAGCCGTAGACCACCACGTGGGCTGGCGGGAAGCGCAGACGGTGCAGCGCGTACTTGACCACGACGTCCATGGCGTTGGCGTCGTGCTGGGGGAAGGGCTCGCCGGTGCTGGCCCCGAAGCCAGGGTGGTTCCAGCCCAGCACCGAGTAGCCGGCCTCCAGCGGCGCCGACAAGCAGCCCATCTCATAGAAACCCGCGTTGCCTTCGCAGCAGATGACCAGGCGCAGGCCGCGGCCCTGGCTGCCCGGCTGCTGGCGGCGATCCATGAACATGGTGTCAATTTCGTTGCCGTCGCTGGCCACCAGCTTGGCGCGCCGGCCGCGGTAGCGCTCCACCAGGCGCTCTTGGCCCTGCTGCAGCAGCGGCAGCAGCGCTCGGGTCATCAGGAACATGGAGCCGGGGTACACGAGCCAGCGGCCCAGCGAGTGGGCCAGCGCGTAGCTGGCGAGCTGGCCAGGCAGCTCGCGGATCTGCTGCAGGAGGCACTGCAACTGGCTGCGCGTGCCGCGCAGCGGCCTCCCGGGTGCATCGGCCCCCAGCGCCGCATCCTGCAGCAGCCACACGCCCGCCGCTGCCGCCGTGCACGTCAGCGCACGGCGCCCGCTGCTGCCCGCGCCGGCAGCGCGCACGTCATCCCAGCGGAAGTCCGCCGGCCAGCTGCGGAAGTTGTAGGTGTAGTTGGCCGTCAGGTAGATCTTGAACACGTGCACCAGCGCCTTCACGAAGCAGACGACACACATGGGCGTCCCGGCGACCGGAGGCTCCAACGCGGGAACCCTAATGCGCAGCCGCGGAGCCGGGCAAGGTGGGAGGGCCAGGCCCAGCCCAGCCCGGTTGCAGGGGCGAGCACCGCGCAGGGCTGTCCTGGGACGCTCCTGCTCAAGGCTTGGACTTAATGGCCTTTATGACTCGGGCCCTCCAGGGGCGGTGGCATCTGCACTAGCCAGCTTTGTGACTCACCGTTGCTGTGGGGAGAAGTGACACCTTGCGATGGGCTCACAAAGGGCTCCCAGTCATGGGCCGGCAGGTCCTGCCTCACCCCTGGGACACAAGCCTTTAGGACCTCGAGGTGGCCACCCTCCGCATGCCCTCCGTGCCTCGCTCTCCCCTGCCCCAGCCTCATCCACCTCCCACCCACACCTACAACAGCATCCGCTCCTTTCCTTAAACGGAAGATGGACAGAGAGGCGGGAAGGGAACAGCCTCGACCTCTCAGGGGCAAGGCCCGCGTCTCCCTGGGAAAAAGGCAGGGCTTGCTCCGGGCGGTCCACCACCCCGGGAGGTGCCCACACTGGTGGGAACGGGAGCGGCGCCAGGCTGTGGAAGCGTTTGCAAAGACAGGGTGGTCCCCTGCAGAAGCCAGGGGGTGGATTTAGCAGTTCCCCGCCCAGGCCAGTGAGGCTGCCCCCAGCCCCCCAGCGCACCGAGCAGCCCAGGAAACCTGACCGTGCTGGCAGGTGGGAGGCAGCCTGCGCTCCCAGTTTGCTGGGCCCACCCTCCACAGCGCCCCCCTCAGGACAGGCGGGTGCAGGCTGGAAACCCCCGCCTGCGCTGGATCCTCTTTCCACCGGCGCCTCCGGGGCAGCGGCACCCCTCCAGGTGGGCCCTTCCTGGGCAGCGTTCCTCATTTTCAGCCACTGCTCAAGCCTCCTCCCCCCTGAAACCGCCCCACCAGCTGCATCTTCCCCTTTTCTGGCGGGCTCGGGTGCAGTCCCATTTTTCTCCACCAGAGAGGACCGGCCCACCTGAGGGCCCAGGTGGCAGGGTTGGAGGCCACGGGGCGGGGGCGGGGGGGGGGGCTCATTCCAAAGGTGCCCAGAGCTGGAGTGGGAGTCTGGCGAACCAGCTGGACCCTTGGCACCAGACAGCCAGGCCTGCTCCCGACACCCAGGCCTCGGGAGAGGACGTTCCCGCGTCAGCACCCTCTCCGTCCTCCTCCGTGTCTGGATAGGGTGGCGTCGGCCGCGCAAGCCGCTTGGAGCAGAGTGAGGCCGTCGCCGCCCTCAGGGACTTGGGGGCAGGAGGGGTCGGTGGGCAAGGTGGGTGGGTTGGGCAGGTTGACTCTTCCCCAGGGTTTCCAGATGAAATACCGCATACCCAGTTACATTTGAATTTCAGATAAAGAACAAACACTTTTTGAGTACAAGTACATCCTAAATCTTGCATGGGACACACTGGATATCCTGTTTGTAGGTTTGTTTGTTGATTTTTGCTAAATCTGGCAACTCTGCCCCCTGCCCCCCTCCCCCCACTACTGAGATCCAGATTTTCCAGCTCGTATTCCAGGTTGGGCGGCTCTGTTCCTGGGCCAGGTCCTGAGGACCCAGAGGAGTCCCAGGGTGCGGGGGAACCTGGGCAAGGGCCCCCTCTGTTCCACTGCCCTACAGCCACCTCACCTCTTCACTGGGTCCTGAGGGGCAGTGGGGGGCAACCCAAAGAGGGGCCCCCTGAGCACCATGGCCGGTGTCCAGGGATGGGCAGAGGTGCCTGTGGCAAGGGGTGGCCCTCCTCCTTCTCCGGAAACACCCACCTGGCCCTGTGCTTGGGGGAGACGGCTGCCTTGGAGGAGGCAGGGCATTTCCTCCCCCAGGAACGTCTTTCATAATCCCCGCAGCCAGGGCAGGGGCGGCGCAGACAGGGGCCCGGGCTCCCTCCGTGAGATCGGGGCCGGCCCAGCAGCGCAGAGGGCCCTGGTACGTGCCCAGCCACATTCGGGCAGATACAGCGGCACAGTGGGGGTCCTGGAGGGCTGTCGGCACAGCGTGTGGGACACGCCACATTTTGTTTCGAGGCTCCAGGACTCTCGTCATCCTGGGGCAGTTCCCCCACTGGCTTCCCCTCAGCCAGGCCCACCTGCCCTGGGCTCCCCAGAAGAGCAGGAAGCGGGGGGCGGGGCGGCTCTGAGGGGCAGAGGCCGGCAGGCTGGAGGCCTTACCCCATGTCTGGCCGGGCCCCTGACTGCCGCCCCAGCCCTACCCCCAGCCCCTGGGAGCCTGAGTGCCCAGAGCCACCAGCTCTGTTGAGACAGGAAAGCATGTGACAGGAAGGAGCCCTCCTCCTGCCGTCCCCTCCAGAGGAGCCCCCCAGACTGGACCAGCTGCAATGACCTCCGGTGCCCCATCTGCTCCGGGAAGGTGGGGCAGTGTCCCCCACTGTCAGCTCTCAGTTCCACGAGGCAGTCCCCCACGCCCCAGTGTCTGCAGGCAGCCGCCCAAGTGTGCACCCCGCCCCCACAGAGCCTGCCGGGCGCTGCGACCTCTGGCCTCTCCCCCAGGCTCCCACCCTCCCTCCTACGAAGGCGCGCCCCCTGGGGCCCGCTCTGCTCGGCCTCCCCAGGCCCTGATTTATGCTGCCAGCGGCAGAGCCGACCTTGGGGAAGGAGCGCAGGGAGAGAGAGAAGACCAGCCCCGGAGGCTGGCGGGGCTGGGCCGGGATCAGAGCCCCCGGCAGAGGGTGCCCAGCTGGTGGGCTCGGCCCAGGGCTGTGGGAGCAGCGCCCCGGGCCTTGGGAGGGGGAGCTGAGTCTGCAGAAACGCCTCTGCTCAGGAAATGGGGTGCAGGGAAGGTGGGGGCTGGCTCGGAGCCTGAGGACAGGAGGGGACGCTTCCTGGCGGATGTGGGGTCAGAGAAGGGGCGGAAATGGCCAGGACAGCTGCTGAACATCTGGAATCACAGAACTGCCCGGCGCCCTCAAGGGTGGAGGGTTGGGGGGGTGCATGCCCAGGCCCCCTCCTTCCTGCCCCCCTGCAGGCCCGGGCCCCACCCCCCTCACACTGAGCGGCCTGGGGAGGGGTCCCTGGGGCTGAGTCCCAGGGGCGTCATCCCCTGGGCGGCCAGGTCTGCCCCGTTCTCACAGGCCGCAGCGCCCCCTGGAGTTGTGCGGGCCGCGGCCTGGCTCCTGCAGGGACGCTTGGAGCCTCCGACGCAAACGTGAAAGGGTCCCAACACGTGGGCCCAAGGTCACTCCTGGCCGGGAGCCCCTCAAAGCACAGCCATGTCCCTTCCACCGCTGACTGACACCCAGCACAGGGCACAAGAAGGCCAGGGCTTCCTGGCAGTTTTGTTATTTAAAGTGCAATCGGGGAGACGCATATCAAAAAGCTCGCGGTCCTTGCTCCCCTGCCCCGCACCCCCGGACCCCGGCATCCAGGGAGCTGAGCCTGGATGTGCCCTTTCACACCTGCCCTGTGTGCCCGCAAACATGCACGACAGGCAGCGCTGGCCAGGAGGGTACCTTTGTCACTTGCTCCCTTGGTGCCCTTCCGCCATCCCAGTGCCTCTGCCCAAGGGGTGGGGGGCGTTTCTTCAGGCCAGGACATCTGGCTGGATTGCTTTTCTTCTTCTTTCTTTCTTTAAAGATTTTATTTGTTTATTTTTAGAGAGAGGGGAAGGGAGGGAGAAAGAGAGGGGGAGAAACATCCGTGTGTGGTCGCCTCTCGCGCGCCCCCTGCCGGGGACCTGGCCTGCACCCAGGCCTGGGCCGGGACTGGGAATCGAACCGGTGACCCTTTGGTTCTCAGGCCGGCGCTCAGTCTGCGGAGCCGCACCAGCCGGGGCTGCATTGCTTTTCTAACAGCTGGGACCGGCCTGTGAGCCCCGCGTGGGTGCACACGCGAGGCAAACGGGTCAGCGGGGGCTCTTCCTGTTTGTGACCCTAGTTAAGGGACTAGGGACTGATCCTGACCCCCCCGCAAGGCCGGCGCGCTGCCCGCTTTTCACTCTGGCCCCTTGGAGACCCCGCGCCTGTGGGACCCGGCGCCAGGCTCTGGGAGGCAGCCAGACGGAAGCGGCGGCCTGGATGCCCCTCAGCCGCCCTGACTCGGGGTACGGCCGGGCGGGGCGGGCGAGGGCGAAGGATGAACGGAAAGGGTCGCGGACCCTCCGCCTGCAAGTCGGGTCTCGGGATGCGCGCCTTGTCCCTGCCAGCGCGGGACCGCAAAAGCCAGCAACGGGGCGGGAAAAGGGCATTGTCCCGGGTCCCCGACGGCACCTGCTCGCCGCCAGCCGCTGAATCCGAGCCCGCGTTTCCACGCACGGGCCTCGTGGCAGCTCGGACTCCACCGGGGGCCCAGGGCCCGGGGGGCACGGGCGACCTTTCCAGGCTCCAAGTCGTGGGACCGTCGACATTTCTCACAAGGCGGTGCGGCCGTGGGGAAGGTGGGCGGTGTCGCCCAGGGAAGGGGCAGTGCGCCCAGCGCGCTCGGTAGACGGAGCAGCGACCGGGAGCCGCCGGCCGCGGGCTCCGAGGGGACGCGCCTTTGGGGCGGGGCAGGCGACCCGGCGGAGCCCCGCCCAGCACCCCGGTCCGCGCGGCGCCCCGAGCACATAGCACGGCGGCCTGCGTTGGAGGGCAGGCGGGGGTCGCGGAGTGCCGGGTGGTCGCCGGTCGTGCGCCTGCGCGGGGCCGGGGAGCCCCGGGGCGCTGCCCCGAGCCCGCGGGCCGCAGGGGAGACCCCCAGGCCCGCCTTCCCGGGCGCGGGCCGCCCACCTGCCGCCGCGTGGGCTGAAAGCCGCCTTTCGCGGAGGCCCCCCGCAAACGACGCTCCTTCGCGGCCCTGCACCGGGGAGCCCCGGGCCGCGTCCCCCTTTCTGGGGAGCCTGGCGCCGCGCGGGGACAGCGGCGGGGCCGGAGGCCCGGGTCCGTCCGGGGAGAGTGAGCGCGGAGCCGGGCGGGACCCTGAGAGGCCCCCACAGACCTCAGACGGGGAGGCGGGCCGGACGCGCTCTGCCCCGCGGGGCTCACAGCCGGGGGC